AGCTAGTCCTCTTTACCGGCAATCCCACCAATGAGCATGTCTGAGGAAATGGCCTTTGATCCAGAAAGCATTCCAAGTGTATAATTTTTTAGTGGTCTAATAAAGGGATCCCCTACTCCTACATTATATTGCGTAAGGACCACAGAGCTCCTCGGTTTTTTCGGAACTACGAAAATACCCAGAAAAAGCCCACTCCTCCCTCCGCCAACAAGAAAATAAGGTGGACTCGCAACATCTGCCGAGCAGGACTGCAAACTGAGCGAAAACCTATTTCCAGCCACTAGGTAATAATGTTTTTTTTTTAATTTGGCTCCAGTTGGCACTAGTGTAGCTTGAAAACGGCACCTCCAATTGACTCCCAGATGGAGGGCTCTGGTTTTGTTTTGTTTTTGTGTTGCCCTCTTCCCCCACTCAAATAGAAACATGTACCCTCTGGAAAAGGTCATGTGGGAAGGGTATGTGCATCATGCTTGGGTTTCTTTGAGGAGCTGGGGTGTGATATGCAAGCCACAGCTACCTGAGGTGTAGCTTGAAAACGGCACCTCCAAGGCAGCCTCCACTTTTTCTAATTTACCTCTAAGAAACAAGCCATCTGTTACGAACTTTTGGGACTTCTCTCCACTATCAACAAGTTATAAGTGGTTTTTCTTCAGAAATAGATTTAGAAGAAGTAGCTGTGTTAGTGTGTGCAAGCATATCCAACAAAACCTGGGGGGGGAATAAATAATAGTTTGAAAATAATTAAAATAATAAATAAATAAAATAATTAAAAAGATAAAAAACCTGTGGCACCTTGAAGATTAATTGTTATTTTTTAACATGAGGATTCATGGACTGACTCCCAGATGGAGGGCTCTGGTTTTTTTGTGTTGCCCTCTTCCCCCACCCAAATAGAAACATGTACCTTCGGGAAAAGGTCATGTGGGAAGGGTATGTGCATCATGCTTGGGTTTCTTTGTTTGAGGAGCTGGAGTGTGATATGCAAGCCACAGCTACCTGAGGTGTAGCTTGAAAACGGCACCTCCAAGGCAGCCTCCACTTTTTCTAATTTACCTCTAAGAAACAAGCCATCTGTTACGAACTTTTGGGACTTCTCTCCACTATCAACAAGTTATAAGTGGTTTTTCTTCAGAAATAGATTTAGAAGAAGTAGCTGTGTTAGTGTGTGCAAGCATATCCAACAAAACCTGGGGGGGGAATAAATAATAGTTTGAAAATAATTAAAATAATAAATAAAATAATTGAAAAGATAAAAAACCTGTGGCACCTTGAAGATTGTTATTTTTTAACATGAGGATTCATGGACAAGTCCATTTCTTCAGACATATGGAGTGAAAATAATTTCTCTGCCTAGCTCATCACTTTCCTTTATCAGGACATGGAGAGAGAAAGGGAGAATCGTCTTGCAGATTCCATCTGACATCAGTCCACAAGTTCACTCAAAAATGTGTGCACAGAACTTAATTGGTGGAAATGTAAAGCATGAGGCAGGGGTGGACAGAATAATGTGTTTTTATTTCCCATAGAGGTATTAGGGGAAGATCAATCCCTCTTGGCCCATCCCTTTTCTCCCCGTATTGTTTTCTAAAGTGCATTTATTCTGTGTACTTTCTGTAAATGTTAAACAGGGAATAAGTGATAAATAAAAATGTTTTAAGTACAACTTTGGTGTGTTTGTTGTATCAGACTATGTATTTCTATTCAAAATACCATTGTAAAACCTTCAAAAGGCCTTGTTTTCCCCTTAATAATGTCTCAAATTACCCTTTAACCAACTATGTAAAATGTTGACACTAATCTTTTAAATAAATCTCCAGGGTTGTTATTATAGCTTCTGATTCACAGAAATGTAATTCATATAAATTTATAAAGCTTTTTATTATTTTTACATTAACTTTCCTCAGGATGGTATTTTAGAAGACTAAATGAAACATGCTTCCATGAATGGAGCAAAGGGAAACGCATATATACGGATTTAAAAATATATGCAAGCAGTATGTTTGAAATAGTCTCCCAAATTGTGTGTTTGGCTTGTAAACTATAATTACAATACTATACCCTCCAGTTAAATATTTTTGCATTAATATATTCTCTGCCAGTCACCATTTGTTCCTTAGAGACTACAGAGAACAGAGAAGCCTTTGTCCAAAATAAACACTTGGAGTTGGAAGGAATAAAATAAAAATGAAATTATAAATGGTGATTTATTCCAAATTATGGATTGGTTTGATAAAAATTATTTTTTCTCTATTCACATGCCAAGGAATCATGTAGTATATATTCCAAAACATGAATTGCTTAAATGTTGACGGCAAATAAATTAGTTGAGATGGATGCAAACCAACTATCTAGAAATGGAAGGTGTGCTATTGCCATTGTGTCTGGAAGGCCCTGCTGTCATGAGATGGAGGTCTGAGATTTTATGGTAGGGGCAAGCATTTTTTTCTGATTTTCAGGTTAGTAGGTGAAAACTACACTTGGAGAGGCGAAAAAGTCACACCAAGGTTCAAAGACCAGTTCTTCCAAACCCAGGAACACGACCAGCACTTTTTATCTGACTGGCAATTTACTGCCACAATTTATGTGACATCCCTTCCGAAAAGTGTAAATGGCCCATAGGATCCTGCCTGTGAAATAATATAAAACATTGGGCCTAGCCAGCATAGATGAGGATGAGTAGAGCTGCTGTCTGGTAACATTTGGAAGGGAGCACACACCCAGTCCTTGAGACAGAAGAGAGGGGAGGCTGTGCCAGCTAAATTTAATTATAAATTATTATTGGCTAAGCTACAGGAATTGCTAAATCAAGTAGCAGCGAGCTGTTTCTGTTTCAAGATACACCTAATCTTGAAAGCTCTGTTAAAATCATCAGTAAACTTGTACCATACTCTGACACTTCCCACACGTTTCTTTCAGATGTATTTGATTTTCATGGCTTGTCAGGGAGCATTTGCTCTTCTTTGCTTTTGACAAATCATAGCACTTTTCAAAGCATTTAATATAAATATTATTTAAGGCATCATTCTGTAAAAACATGGATAATACATGCATACAATAAAAGAAAATAACTCTTGCTGCATTTTTAATTCTAACCACTGAAGCTTTCATGCCAATATTTTAGCTAAACTAGCTGTGCATGCAAGCTCCACTTTCTGGAATGTGTACCTTGTCTAGAAAGCATATAACACAGGTCCTTGCATAGAAATAAGCTCTTTCCCCTAAATACGTAGCACACTTAAGACAGGGATAAGCACAAGTAATATTAAATTACCAAACATATGTTTCTGCTAGATCCAAACTACAAAGCTGCTTACATCTTTTACATGTCATGCTAGGGTTCTGGTGTATTGTCTGTTTTTCACTTTACTGTTAAACACACATCATCAGAGAAAAGAAGCAAATAAATTCATTCAAGAGAAGCACATTTAGTGTTATATAACTCCCAGAAGGAGACAAGCATCAGCATCAGAAAGACTTAGGGATGCTCCAGACAGGTCTCCTGTCACTACAAATCAAAACACTTTGTGTCCCTATTCAGTTTTTGCCTTCTTACATGGTTCTAAGAGGAGAGAGTGAGAAAGAGCCAGCGGTAGGAAAACAAGAGAAGGTCACAAATAGCAGACCCCATATAAAATGCCACGTTCTGTGCAATAAAAGCCTCTTCTTTGAGCCTGAGTCTTACTACTGGCATTTCTATACACATCCTGAAATCCAAGAAGCTGAAGGAGTATCTCCCACATTTCCAAGAGACGAGTGCCTTAAAGTCAGTGAAGAATATTTTATTCATGTTCTTGCCAATAGTAAAGGTTGGGAAGGTGGCAACATGAGACAGGTTATTATCTGCAGTGATGCCTTGTTTGTTTAAGTCCTTTCCAGCTGATATTAAGTCTATTTTCACAGTCCAGTCATTGAAAGACAAGCCATAATATATTTTTATTTCTTCAGCGATTTGGACCTATAGTTGGCACAGTTCCAGAGAATTTGAAAGCTGCTATTTTGCTGTATTTTATGTACTGCCATGTTTAAAGTTATTTATATATTTATTTTGTGAGTTTTAATAATTGTGCTATACGACCACCTGATTTCCAGCACTGGAAGACTAGAGGCAACTAGAATATTAAAAAATAATCAATCTATCATACTAAAAAAGAATGTGTGTTTCTGTTAAAGCCATTGCTCCATGATCATAAAATGTAGGCAATTGAAATCTGGCGCACATACTAAAGAGATCCCAGGTTCTTTGCAGCATGATGGAGTTTTCTGTTCCTTCACATGCATTGATTTTAATATGGCCATATGATTGGAGCCTGCAATACCATCTTCAATAAATAGGTGGCAAACATCACTGATCAACGCATAAATGTACAATTAATACAGTATGCAACCAGTGAGAATTAATCTAAGAGTTTTCTCTCCCTTCCTCACTTCTATGAAGCACCCACCCTGTACAAGCATGAAGTGAGCAGACCTCTCCCTTATACTGTAGACTGTATGCCTTTCACCATGAGTATGTGTCAGCCATACATAGCGAAAGCAAAATGTATCCACATTTGATAACTGCATAACTTTTTTTAAAAGGTTGTGGTTTATTCTAATCCAAGTTAAGCTTGAACTTTTACTGGTATTAAATAAATTGTTGGAAACAAGACTGTGGACTTAATTGATACCATTTCTGATTCAGTAGGGTTCTTCTTTAATTCATAAAAACCTCTGTGCATGTGCACAGCTAGAAAAATGGCAAAACTGTGTTTCTTGACTATAGTGTCAGAGCAGAGTAATAACAACAAAACATTGTAATATATATCACAAGTAATAAAGTGGAAAATCTATATATACAAATTCTTCATTGCAGTTGGTACATTGAATTCTGTGAATGTGAGTTGATCAGCCTGAAAATAAAGTTTAGTTAAGTGGGACATATCAGAGAAGGGATGGTTATTATAACTGATCAATGTAAAATGTATGAATAATCTTTATATTTCAATATGCCCACTTATTCCTGGTACTGTCAGTTGCAGTCACATCATAAATGTTGGAAAATGTACTTGAATTTAAATATATCTGGCATAATAAATACAACAGTATGCAAGAAGGGGGAAAAATACATGATTTACATTTGTAAATTTGTAGAGGTTTCTCCTTGATTTGTACTTTCTGTTTGCAGAGAGTGACTCAAAAATTGTCCAGACGCTCCAATGTATAACCGTGATCGCATTGGCCATTTCTGTAAGACAATGTATACAAAAGTGAAAAGTAGATTGGCATTACTTATGATTCAAATGCATAAAAGATTATTGAAACTACCGTAAGGAAAATATCTGCTGTATTTTAACAGTAGTAACCCACTGTATTATGGAACAAATCATGGAATAGCACCAGACATTAATACAACTTTTTTTTCTTTAAACTAAACTAGACATGACACTGTTCATGCAATTAGCATTTGTGTGACTGGTTAGACATGGTATCAAATCAAAACTGAAAATCTGATGAAAGTTAGGGTTTTAGTCCTTTGGCTTTGTGGTGGTCCGGTAGGGACTAGGGCACCCTTACATGACTGACTGTATCATTAGACACACTTGAAACATTTGCCTTCAGAGAGGGCATCAAATGGTAGCTTCTATTTTTTTTTCTGGTAGAGATGGGGAGAGGTGTTTTATGCCTTTGGCTGTCAGAATAACTTGTTGGCTCTAGGTGCTTTGCATCTTAACGTGAATGGATTGGGGGTCACCATGTGCTATTCCCTGGATCCCACCTGCTCAGAATAGTTGCTTTGGTGGACTATAACTCCCATGCTGGCTTGACAGTTCTGGAAGTTGTTTCCCAAACATACCTTTTCCAATATCTGCCATTCATGGTTATGACTGAACATCTTTGTTCCGATGCAAATAGCAGGCATAGAACCCCAGGCTAGTATCCTATTGCCTGAGAGTGAAGTGCAAGGGAAGTAGCAAAAGCAGCTGCTCCACTCTGACAGGTTGACCACTGCATAACTGAATGTGTGACCAATCTTGGAACCGCTGCAAGAACAGGCACACAAGGAATCTGCTGGAGCAGGAGTAGCAACACTTAAAGACAACCTTCTTGCTCCATGTTCAGGCAACAATATACTAGTCCAAATCCACAGTGGGAGTCTTGCAGGGAAGCAAAAGATTAAAGAAGCCCTATTTCAAATCTCTCCAATTTCCCAGTATGGACTACATGCCCCATGTCTCTTTATTACAATTATTAACTGCCTGAAAAACATCAAATCTAGTAAATTTTCATTGTCTCATATTTGTTGCTTTTTCTGTGCTGGTACACAGATTAATCAATAATAATCATCAAGTGCTCTCAAGTCAATTCTGACTCATGGAGGCTCTTTTCAACGTTTTTCAGGTAGAGAATACTCAGAAGTGGTTTACCATTCCCTTCTTCTGAGGTTGCCCTGGGACTGTACAGCTTGCCCAAGGCTACATGGGGTGGCTCTTCTCTCAGGAGGCAAAATGAGGAATTGAACCTCTACCTCTGCAGCAAGATACCTAAACCACTCAGCTGTCCAACCAGCTAGTACACAGATGTATACATAAAATTTATTTTTCAAATATGTTCAAATAAAACCTTTTTTTGTAAGAAGCTTGCAAGTAAGTGAAAGATGGCAAAGATGGAGGATAAGATCAGAAACTAATGACCAAATAGACATATAGACCACATTGTCCAAAACACCTTGAGCAGGAAGAAGCCTTAATATAATTTTTAAAATAACATTTTGCATTTATAGATTGTGGTCAAGGCAAGCACATTTAGAAAATTTCCCACTTTTCTCTGTGTCCATCTTTTGTTTTGTGCTGTGCCTGAGGAAAAACTATTTTTAGCTGATTGGATGTAAGATGCCGTCACAAAATGTTATAAATAAACAAGAACATATGTAGGCTCCAATTCTTTATCCATGTAATCAATTAATTGTCTTCAAGTTGATTCTAAGATATAGTGACTGCCACAGAGTTTTCAAGGTAAAAAGTACTCAGAGGTGGTTTACCATTTCCAGAGACATAACTAGTAGTTTTAGTGCCAAGAGTACCACAGCAGCCTGTTGGAGGATAGTGTGCTTCTCCTTTGGTGGAGAAGAAATGGCAACCTATGGGAAATTCACTGTTTTTCACATGTAGACTTTGGCTTCCATCATCTTATTTGTTGAAAAAATTAATTGCAATTCCATCAAAAAAAAAAAAGAAAAGAAAAGAAATGGCTACCTTCAACAATACCCAGTGGACAAAAGAACAAAGACTTGTGACATCTCTAAGACCAGAAATCAGACATTGTAAATAGTCTGTAATTAAGGTTAAGAGCATCTTAGGGTTGCAGAGGAGACTGAAGGAGCAATAAGAAGTACTTTATCTTACAGTTTGGAGTCCTTTGGGAACAGGATGGTTCACTTAATTTTTTGGTCACCACACAACATTCTGGTAATCGTGAACCAGTCTGGTCATTATCCATGCATACCCATACCCTTTTCGGTCCTTGGCAGGGCTTTTTTCTAAGAACAAGTAGGATTGCTCCATTTTGGTTTGGTTCTGGCATGTGCGATCATTAGGACTGAACCAATGTGGATCCCCTCCCATGCCACCTATCAATAAAGTTAAAAAGCTTTTTTAAATCCAACTTTCTGTGGATGGGAAGACAGAAAAGGAGGTGGAGGAGGATATTTCTGTTGCTGTTTGGTTTTTATTTAAAAGTCCTGCAGTGCAGCACTTGGTGGCAAGCTGACTCATTGGCATACAGCTTAACAATTTTTCCCAGCTTTCCTCCACTTGGTGCCAAGCCAGACCTATAAATTATTTTAAAAACTGCAGTTTTCCCCTGCTCCCTATGGAGAGGGAGAGAGAAGAGAATGCAGTGGAGAAATGTATTTATTTATTTGCTTGCTTGCTTGTGTATCATTTGTAGGTTGCCTTTCTCCTAATGAAAGGAATCAAGGCAGCTCACAACATTAAAACAAGTAAAAAAATTTAAAAATAATACATTATACTTTAAAAACAATTAAATTACAATAGTAATTAAAATACATTAAATGATTACATTAAAAGCCAGAATCTGGGACCCAGCTATGGTTATCAAAAGCCTGCCTGAAGAAGTGGGTCTTCAATTGTCAGTGGAAGAATAAAAGGGAGGAGACTAACCTAAGGAGAGCATTCCACAACCTAGGAGCAGCCATAGAGAAGACTTTTAGAGGCCCTGTGATGGTGATGGGATGAAGAAGAAGTCTCACCTGAAGTTCTTTAGAGCCAGGAAGTGTCATGGTAGCTTTGGGGTACAGTGTGGTTTCCTATCTCAAAACCACCCAATACTTATATCTGTATGCAAGGAACACCCCAAATAGCATATCTCATCAAAGTGACCCTGTTTAGCCCGATCCAGCCCAATCTAGCAGGACTGTCTAAGACAACCCTGAAGCAGCCTTTCCAAATTTGTGAAATTAGTCTTCAAAAGGATTCCATGCTCAAATCCTGAAGACCAATTAGCAAACAAATCAAAATCTATAATGTCAAGATGAAAGAAGCTTTCATTGTGCTACTCAGATTTTCATGTTAGTTAAGAATTTCCTTCTTCTAGTCATGGGCTTCTTCCAACATCTGTTTCCTCTTTAAGACTAACAGACTTCCTTTAGGTCCACAGAGTTCTCTTAGCATGAGCTTTGCAGATTGTAATCCTCCAAAACGCATGCTATAATAAATGTTGGTTATACAGGTGCCACAGTTGTTAGAATGAGAGTAGGAAGCAACTAATTAAAGATCTAGTAAGGTCTGTCCACAATGTGAAGCTTAAAACAGCTCCTCTGTCTTATGAGCAGCCTTTAATTAGTAATATCCTCAGTTAGCTCCCTCCCAACATAGTGCTACTAACGTAGGAAACTAACAATTAAATCGCTGATAGGAGGAGAAGCTAGTGTCACTTTAATATACAAACTTTGAAAAAGCTTTTCCTGATTTATGTCTGGAATCCAAAACATACTTTGTAGGGAGTAAATTCCTTCATTCTGAATGAGATTTAAGATCTCGGACCTGGCAGACCCAAAATCTCATCCAGTTAGTTTTTGGACTACAACTGCCAAAAAGTTATTTTTGTCTCTATAACTATCAGAATCCCATCAACAACTCTGGGGTTTATAGTCCAAAGAAGTAATTTTCCCATTTCTGGGGAGGGGCAAGATGAAATTGTTGAAGACATTATATTAAGTGCCACACAGAAACCCAATAAGAGACATATTTTCAATCAGGAACGGGTGATGCTTGTTTTCTAGGCTGTTAAGTCCCAGATTCCCATAGCAACCAATTCTGCTGGCTCCAGGATTCTATGAGTTGTAGATTTTTCAAAAATTAAGGTTCCCATCTCTGCTTTCAACTTATTTCAAACAAGCAGTGCTTCAGACATGTCACAGGACAGTATCTTGGTATGCAGGTGAGGCCATGACTACACTGGCCATTCACCTTGCAATTTACATCAGATTGGGCACTGAGGAATTTGAATTAGCATATACTATATCCATTGTGGAACAGTTTTTGAGCAGGGTTCTAAACAACAGAGTTTTAAATAACTTTCTGGTGATCAGTTTGATATTGCTTTTGTCCACTTTCTCCTAGTGTGATTGCCTGATATAAAACAAAGAGGTGCTTGTTGGGTGTTTGTTCTCCTCAGCCAAGTGCCCCTTGACTTCAAACCATTGCTTTGGGGGGGAAAGGGGGTTCAGCACTGGAACAGAGCTTTGCTAGAGCACTTAGAGAACAATTTAAAAAAGTAAAAACTGTCAAATTAGCACTTGTTGGCATCTTGTTAAGGCAGCTTCTTCTGTAGCTGCTGCCCTGCCCATAGAACAAGCTCAACAGATCATCCAGCCTTCCCTGCCAGTCAGCCAGAATGAGTGTGACTTTTTCTCCAGGCAACAATGGGTTGCCAGGAGAGGGAAGTGGGGTACATCTGAAAGCAGTGTGGCAGCAGGTGTGTGCGGGGGAACAGACAGGAGCAACTACTTGCAAACTTGAATGCAGGAGGGAGATTATGGGTTACCCACATAAATCTGCCTCTGCCCCTGCTCACTCCTCCAAATCTATATGGCTACAGTGATTTCACTCTGGAAAACCTGAGTTCCATTGGTGCAAATCACAACCATAACTATTTTCCCTGCTGTGTAGTTGCAACCTAACTATGGAAATTCTTCTGAAGATGACTTTTGTAGAATTCAAAAGATTTCATACCCTCATTCAGTTTGGCCAAGTAAGAGGGGAAAAATTGCTATATTTTTACACGGCTCACCTTCACAGGGTGCAGGTAGCCATCTCCTCTCAGTGTGCCCAAGGCTTCCCCAGGTAATTCTTCTTCATCCTGCAGGCTGCGGGTTAGATGTGCAATGTAGGTGGTAGCCAGAAGGAGCACATCCAACTTCGAAAGCTTAGTATCAGGGGGCACAGAGGGAAGGGTTCTCTGGAGCTCCAAGAAGGCATGGCGGAGAGTCTGCACACGGCTACGCTCTCGGGCGGCATTTGCAGCTGCTGGTCTCCCCAGGGTGCTCCCAGTTCGTTGTCCAGCCAAAGAATCAGTACCAGATATGGAAGATGGCAGAGAGCTGGCATCAGAGCAGGCCAGAGGAAGCTCCTTGCAGTTGTCAGACACATTTCTGTAGTCCATTGGTGCAGATGAACCTACAATCAACAAAGACTCTTAAAATAAGGAGGAACATTTTGATGGATTACTGTCACCATCAGAAGTTGAAACAATTTTTTTACTTCTGCTCCCAGAATCCCGTAGTCAACATAGCTTCTTGTGTTCCAAACAAATAACTTTTCCAACCTTTGTTTACTATTTTGCACCAATCCGATTGCTTGTACTTCTGCATCCGTTTTCAGCACACAGAAGTGTTTTATAGTTAGAAACTCTTCAGTCCAATTTCCTTAGCTACCCTCAGTTAAATCTCAGTCTTGGGCTATTGTTTTAACATGGAATCATTGGGCTAACATTAAATCTGAATCATTTGTCTTAAACATGTACTGTAGATCTGGAAAAGTACAGTATGTGCCATGAGCGAAACCAAGAAATGTGCTCACAGCATTGGTCAGAGTTCTAAATAACTTTTAAAAAAAAGAATAACTGGCCTAAAAAAATTATTAAATAAGATGCAAACCTGAACATGTTATCTGTTTAGGCTGTAATCATAAACCCACCTCCGAGTACCTATGAAATGGTTACCTAATAAAACCAATGGGACTCATTGCTATGTGCTATTAAGTTGGATCAATTAAGTTGTGAGCCTAATAGGGCTTTGAAAGTAAGTGTGACATTTAACAAGTGATTTTACCAGAGCCACACCCTCATGATTTTCCATGGCTGAGCAGGGATTTGAAGCCAGGCCTTCTGAGTCCTAGTCCATTACTATATGACTACACCACACTGAGTAACAATGGGACTTCCATCTGACTAGATATGTTTAGAATTAGGGTCCCTGGGCAATATTAAATTAGTTTCTCCATTGGAACCAACAAAATATTACCTTGAAAGATTAAAATTACATGATTAGTTATAATCCAATTTATTTGATCTTTTCCCCCTCAAGGAAAGATATAATAAATTTGACCTATGACGTAAATAGTGCTGATTTTTAAAGCATTTCAGTAGGGATAAAAAAAGTTTTGTTTCATTTTTCATAGAAAATGTAAATACTGTACTTGTTGCTGTTTTGTTTTGCTGACTAATTTGAATAAACAACTGGTACTATATAAATAAATAGACACAAACAATGTCTGGCACTAGACACAAATAATTTCAGTTTCAACAGCCTCCATAACAGTGAATACAGAATTTTGTTTAAATCCAACAAAATGAGAACTAATCATGACTAGGGTTTTTTGCTGGATCATTTTTGCTGTGCATAGATACAATACATTATTAAAGCTGATGCTGGCTTAGGTACCTTCTATATCATAAGCTCACATTCCATACAAGCATATCCAGCAGCACCTTTTGATAAAGAAACCTGAGTATGATTTATAGATGAAACATTTTAAACAGAGCAAGCTTAAATTATTTTTAAGTCCATGTAAACTCTAGCAATGCTAATCAACCATGTACTTTTTTGTATCTGATGTGTGAATGTTGACAAAGTGGCTGTGACAGGGAAGGAGTGCATTCCTCCAAAGTTCTCTGCCGTTGTAGTCCTCTTTCTTGATCTATATTAAATGAATTGGTACTTTTGCTGCAATCTCAGAATGAAAGGAAAGGGGCATACAGGCTAAAGGGAGGCCAGGAATGGGGGAATTATGCTCTCTGTATGGTTTCTTTTCTGGTATTAGTTTAGGCCAGCTCTGATTTTGATCTGTGATCTTTGATCCACTTTCTGGGGAATAAGCCCTATTGCTGAATATAAAAGGGACTTGCTCCTGACTAAAAACATATACAGTTGCCTCATAAATGTACACAATAGTTCAGAATTAAATAATCGTTTCTTGTGTAAAGGATGTCCGTGTTTTGCAAATGCTTATATAAGTTCATGGATGAGTCCAGTTTTTGGCTCCACATGAAAGTATATATTTTGTTCATTATCAATCTGTAACTGTGTCATTTTCAGTTCTTCATTGTTGGTTTTGCAATGATCTATAGTTAGGCAATAAGCTCTGCTCTGTCTCTGCTCCATACTTTCTTTGAAATGTGGTGGTCTGTAACTTATTCTGTGAATTCCAGCGACAGATATCCATTCCCCCGCCTTTTAGGGAAGTGCAAATGGACATTTACATTTAGACTACTGTCAACCACTTCTGTTGTATCTCTCCATTTTTTAAAATTCTCAAAATTCATCTGGGATTGTCAACATTCACCTATGAATGTCAACATTCAGCACTTTTCAGACAATTGCAGCAACGCAAACATATTGGCTGCAATCCAACAAAGTGTTATGTTCACACAGAGAAAAACCACACATGTAGCCACAGGTTTCTTTTGCTGTTTCTGTTGTGTCAAATTGTCCTCTACCGCCTGGACAGACAAATCATATTTAGGAGAGGCACAGGCACTCCTACAAAAAATACTTGTATAGACATAATGGATTTTTTAAAAAATATATAGGTGGAATATTTAATCCATCATGTACAGTGTAAGTTTGCAGTCATACCTTTTAATGATGTCCTCAAGATCTATTTAGAAGTAGTCACCATGAAATCAAGGATGGTGGTTCCTAAGATTCCAGTGAGCAGTCTAAGATTCAGCACCTTTGCTACTGTCAGAAGGAATCTATGCATTGCAATTCTATCTTTTGTTTTTATATGCTTCTATATTTTTCCTTTCAAGTTTTATCTCCTTCACTTTTATTTGGGGTTTTCCCAATTACACTTGACTAGATGTTGAATTTCACTTGCTCTCTGCTCTGCTAACATTACATGCCTGCTGTATTGCCATAGAATGTGTATATTTAATGCTATAAAGGTAATGTAGTCAGTAGCCGTGTTAATTTTTCCTTCCTTCACTCTAGCAAGATTGCATTCAGATAATTAAAGGTAGATTAATAGTTAGAGATGTGTGGACAGTTTTGTCCTGATGAAAGTTTCCACACCAGAGATTTCTATATGGATATTTCTTCTGTTTGTTCTAAAGAACACTGACCAGACAGTTCAGTAGTTTTCTGGAGAGACAGTTTGTCACTGTTCTCATTGTGGTAAATAGACTTTAATGGGTTCTTGAAGACCCCTGGGGATGATTATTTCGTGCTTGCATTTAGTTAGAAATATTAAATATTTCTCGTATTTAATGTATTATTATTTGTCTCTTTTGCGGTCCATCCTTCAACAAGACTAAAGCAAGCAAAATATATAAGTTATGCATCCTCCAATATCACAAGTTGTTACTTGAGCAGTAACAGGAATATTATTTCCTTTACCATTGAAAACATTGGAGTGGATGGTAAACTTTTGATTGTGATATGTAAAGATTATGTGCAGTGGGAGACATAGAATTGCTTGAGCTTTCACATTTTACTATCTCCAAGTCAATATATTATTGGGCTTTCGGGATCACAACACAGCACTTAAATAATTAGTCAACGAGGACTAACAGAAATGTTAAAATATTAAAGTGTTAAACTGGCTTTGCAATCGATTATACATCCTGAATATTTATTTGAATTATTCTATTTAATCATAAGAATGGGATGGGATCAGTGAAGTTGCCATTGTTGCACACACTTACACAGGTCTTTTGGGTATACAAAAACCCCACATAACTTAGATGGATTTACTTCTGCTTTGAGTAAATATACGTAACTTGCACTGGAAAACATTTATTGTGGCCCAAGATTTCACAGGTCAAAGCCATCTGCCTAAGTTGCAGAATCAGTGGGCCCACTGTATCCCACAAAGGCATATGCCAGGGAATGAATAAGTCTCTCCACCTTTAGAGTGGGAAAGGATTTCTTGTTTTATTCACTGACCTGCATTTTTGACTTAGTCTCCTATTGCTGTCTCCCTGGGATGAATGCCAGAGGGGGTAGCCCTGTTAATCTACAGTACAGTAGTAAAACTATTAGTTTTCCACTCAAAGTGGATCTCTACACGAAACAGTATTTCCAGATATATCCAGTTTTTATTTTTGTCTATTTTACTGGGCAGCTTGTCCAAGGTACAGTCCCTTGAAACCCATTTTGTCTCCTTCTATGTACAATTTGTACATAGCTACATCATCAGCGCACAAACAAGCATATGCGGAGAATTAGAGTGCTCCTCTAGTAAGAGAGCTCAACAAAACAAAACATTTTCTCCACGCTGTTTTTTTTAAAACCCTAATTATTCACCCCGTCGGCTACACGGAACAGTCCGTTGTAAATCGGAGTGCTTGCCATCCTAAAGCCAACCAGTGCGGTCAGCAGGGAGAGGATGGCACGTACAATCTCACACCTTTGGAAGGCACCAGGTTAGGAAAGGCTGAAGATTGCTGTTTTGAGTCTGCTACAAAAACTGCAGAAGGAAACATGCACTGCCTCGATCTTCTAAACAAATGAAAGGACTATGAAAAGAAGCAATCCTTGTTTCAAAACCTCAAAAAGTTGCAACCTTCATTTGAAGTTCGGAATCCTACCTAACAGAAGCCACGGGCACAAACTTCACAGCAACCAATGCGCTGAAACGGTAGACAGACCTCGCTGTACCGCCCCTGCGTATCTCTCAGTAGGATAAGGTGATTAGAGACGCACCACTCGATCGTCTTTAAGTTATCTATTTTTCGCCCTTGGCTTCTGAAGGTTCAACTAACCCGTTTTCAGGGCTTGCTTAAAGTTTCTTATCGCTGCATGGAAGCTAACATTGCCAGCGAGTTATCACATTGAGTTTCCAAGGGAAAAAAATGCGACATGATTTCTCACTGACCAGATCCTATATGCAGATCTTTGTTTTCACGATTTACAACAAATTGCAAGCTGCCTGAGGGGATCTCTAGATCCAAAGAGGAAGCATAAATCGTTAAAAAGAAAGAAGAAGAAAACGGGGAGGGGGGGGGACAGAAAAAAGAAATTAGACAAGATGCGCTGTTAGAAACAGAGCGCAAAGTTCCATACCAAGGGGCTATTTGGAAAGAGGGAGACTAGAAAGTTGCATGAGAGAGAACTTACTTCAGCTGCTGGGTTTCCCACAAGGGACGCACACGGAGAGCGAGAGACGGCCCGGCCAGCACCGATCCACCCCACAGTGGAGGGAGTGAAGAAGCCTCTGCGCTTTTATAGGACTCGCCGGAGCGCGCTCACCTCCGCCTCGTCTGCCGCGGCCGCGGCTCCTCCTCTCGCTTCGCCCCCTGGCTTTCCTGGCGCTCTCCAACTCTTCCCCCTGCGGGACCAAAGCTGGAGGGAGGCTGCTTTAGAGGGCCAGCGGCGCTGCTGCTGTCGGCTGGTTGCAGAGGGGAGACCTCGCCCCATTCCCTCTTCCTTCCACCGGTGCCTCTTGAGCCTGACCAGAAAATTTAACACCAGCCGCGGTGAGAGTTTCCTGAGATTTAACTCAATAATCCGCCTTCAAGGCCTTGGCTGGCCCCTCCGATGAAAAGCACTGCACAGTGCATTTTCAGGGTCATGTATCCTCCTTTAAGAGGGCAGTGTTCTAGTTCAGAACTTGGGTAACCCAGGTTTTGCATAGCAGTTCCCAGATTTAACCCTCAGCTATGCTGGCTGCAATTTCTGGCAGTTACAGTCCGAGAACACCTGGGTTATCCAAACCTGGGAAGCCCTGATCTAGTTGAAGGAAGTTCAATCCTCTACTTGAAGGCATTGGTTATGGAAAGGCTGGCTAAGATCAAACATAAGGGAGGATGCTGCCCATGAACTGTGAGGACCACCGGGGATATTCTTTGCCCCATCACAAGCTTCCCAGTTGGACAAGCCAGAGTGTATCTCTTTTCAAATTGTAATAATTGTTTCTGGAGATGGGAAATGTTACTTTCTTCGATTCCTGGAATGCTCTAGCGATTCCAAGGTATTTCAGAGCTGTCATCCAAAAGCAATAACTTTCCCCATCTCCGATGGCTTCTGAATTTACATCATTGTCAGCACTATGTAACTGACCATCCTAGGCATTTCTCTCCAGCTATGTAAGGTCACGATCATGTTTCATTCCAGGGAATCTTGATTTTGTGAATTAAGTGCTACTCTTAGCGGAGCATTTCAAGTAGGGTGTGTGTGCCATTAATCAAACTGTTGCCCCAGATGGAAGATGAGGGAGATTTACTCCCTCCTAAGAGTAACTTCCCTCAGTTCCCATAAGGTTGACCATGGAGTTTGTTACATGTTAAATAATCATTGGCAGCGTTGCTCCCAAGAATTGTGAATGGCTGTTGATGGTTTACAACATAGGTAATGCCCCATCAAAAATGTTTGGCAAAGCTCCACTGCAGTCAGTGGGATTTCAGGGTTCACAGCCCAACAAACATGTGAAGCTACCAGGTAAATGTGTTTAATCAGGACTGCTCATTCCAGAGGATTTTCTGTTTTTCATCAAGCCACTGCAGGAGTTTCTTGGGTTGGACTTAATTCCATAATCCATCTTCCAGCAGCACATCCCTACCAGTCCAAGTCAAGGTGCTCTGTATGCTAAATTAGCCCTGTTATTTTTGTCATTGAGGGAAGGTCCTACGCAGACCGCTCCCTATCCCTGGCAGTAAAAAATCAAAGTGACAATTCTTTATCAAAGGTGACCTTTATCTGGAAAGACTGCATATGGCTACTAGTCCAAGTGAACAGGAGGCTCTAATGTATTTGCCTATATTTAAAGAAAAGACAGCTGCCAGTGCAATCAGCTTATCTATATATGTGGGTGCTATCTGTCTCAGGCAGTCCAGTGTCATGGGACAAGTTCTGCTCAGCCACATTCATCTGGATGATTTCCAGATGCCAACAATCTCTTGTGGTTGTCTCGGTAAGCTTTGCTCCATCAATTAATTAATTTCGAAATGCAGTACAGTGTGTTCTCAGAACGCTCATCTCCCCTTGGTCTGCAGTCACATGAAGGGTTATCACATGAAAAAAAGAAATATACTGTACAGTACAGTATTCACTGAACTGAGAATGAAGGACAGCTGCAGTGTCTCTGAGGAAGGTGGTTTGATCCACGAAAGCTCACATGGAAGCAAATCTGTTAGACTTTTAGGTGCCACAATATTTCATCCTCCTCTCTGCTCTTCTTCACCAACTGTGCTGGAAAGGACGGTTCGTCTATGCGTCTAAATCAGCATTGGGAACCTTTGGTTTCCTAGCTGTTTGGGGCCACAGCACCAGTCTTATTGGTGACCATAAGGGCTGGGACCTCTGGAGTTAAAGTCTAAAATTGCTAGAGGGTCTAAGGTTTAGTTTCCCACCCACAACAAGTGATTATAATGGCAGTGAATGACAGCTAAGAAGCTTTCTGAAAACTATACACTCATCTTTGGGGGAACTGGTCACCCATATTACTTCAACAGATAACTGACATGTTGGCCTTCAACAGCACCCTGTTGTTGTTCAGTCATTAAGTCGTGTCCGATTCTTCGTGACCCCATGGACCAGAGCACACCAGGCTCTCCTGTCTTCCACTGTCTTCCGGAGTTTGATCAAATTCATGTTGGCACCCTACTGATGGATGAATGCAGGGGAAATGTTATTGTCCCAGAAAACCACCCTACTCATGGATGAATGCTGGGGAAATGTTATTGTCCCAGAAAACCACCAAAGCTGTCTGAGCCAGAAGTCACACTCCACTCAGTCATATGAATGAACTGGTAAGTCTGCTCAGTGAAGAACCAGAAATAGTACAGCCTTGTACCTTAAGAGCGTGACTTAGAGAAAGGTTGAACTCCACGGAATGATAGTAAACTCCTGCTCAACTAAGATGGCAAACACAAGAGGAGATGAGAAAACTGGTTTTGTTTATCTGTGAGCACACACCAAAACAACATGTACTTGTAACTGTTTGTATTGTCAGTAGTTGTCAGTAGAATTAAATATGAGTTATTTCTTTAAGCTCTGCATTCTGTAAAATTACATTTCTGTATATCATTAATAATTTTTATTTAAAGCATCATTAGTATAGTTAGAAGCAATTTTCATCCTCAGTTATAGCAGTTTCAGGGATACATTACATTACAGAAAAATACATTTAAAACATAATTTCTCTAAACTTAAAAGGTGGTTTAGTATCTGAGTAATTTGGTTGTTATTTTAGCTATAAATCTAAATACCTTAGGGTAGATTAATTTTTTAAAAAGCATTTTCCTTTAACATATATTGTTTTGATAACTTTACTGTAATTTGTTTCTTGTCATTATAAGACAACAAGATGATGCAACTACAGCTTTATCTCGTAACCCTCTAAGATTAATTTAATTACCATACTATTCTGTAGAAATCTTTTTCCTGGTTAATTTCCAAAATGTGCACATCATAGTCAACATTGCCTCATTTTTTGCTTTGTAAAAACAGAAGCATAAATCCTGAGACTATCAGGGTGGGTGAATGATTGCAATCCCATTTAGTAAAGGTTATGTGCAAGTACGATGTGAATAGTAAACTGTTGTTCTTCACAGCAAATAATAAAAATTATAAATATATTTTGATCAATCCTTTTCCTCTTTTGAATTACCCAATTGTGATACACAAATACATATCAGAAGGAGAAAAAGAAAGGAAATATTTGTTTCCTTTAAAGACAAAGTGTTTTCCCCATCTTTTATGGATAACAAATGATGCACTTCCTGGTTACTTGTGCCTTCTGGAGTATCTGTATAACACAATTCTAACTTTGTTAATCAGTTATGTTGTAACTAAAGAAAATTAGTGGACAATTAACTATACTTATGTTTAATGATTAGAAACAGCACATGTCAGAAGTTTAAAGCCCAACAACTGGTACCATCATTGCTTCTTTTCCCGTTCCATCAAAGGGAAGCTAATTCTTCTCCCTGTGATTACTTCATCTTCTAAAGCAGTGGAATTTGCATTTCAGTCAAGGCCTTTGCCCTGCTGCCCTTCGAGATATTTACAATTAACTATACTTATGTTTAATGATTAGAAACAGCACATGTCAGAAGTTTAAAGCCCAACAACTGGTACCATCATTGCTTCTTTTCCCGTTCCATCAAAGGGAAGCTAATTCTTCTCCCTGTGATTACTTCATCTTCTAAAGCAGTGGAATTTGCATTTCAGTCAAGGCCTTTGCCCTGCTGCCCTTCGAGATATTTGTAATCTTTAAAGGCAGGGCAGTCTGCATTTCAGTCAAGGCTATCCTTTGCCCTGCTGCCCTTCGAGATATTTGTAATCTTTAAAGGCAGGTTCTTCGGTTTTATCAGGAACCTTCACATCGCTGGAGCACACCCTGCTCTGAAGTCCTGCCAATTCTGGGAATCCAGGTAGTCTCAACCCTCCCACTCTTGGAGACAGGCAGAGGAAGGGGGTTTGAAGGGCACAAGACTGGCTTGCTGTCAAATCCAGTGATGGCTGCAGTGGCAGGAGGGACAGTTCCACTGACTGACCTGTTTTGCGGATTCAGTAGCAGAAACAGCAGACACTTTCCCTCGCCTCCCTCTTCCCTCTCAGCCTCCTCCTTTGCCATTTTAAAGCCTAATCTTCTATAGTGGATACTTCTTGAAAAAGGCTGCCTTGCATTATTATTCCACAATACCACGATTTGGTTGTTTTAAGTCTAAGTCTCGGTACTTGACATCACAGCATCTGTATTTTTGGAGAGACCTCTACTCCAGCACCAGCAGCAAAAAGGGAGAAAACCAAAACCACTTACAAGGTTCCAGAAACTGAAGTTGGAAGATCCATTCCATCACAGAGCTTCTTCATTAGCTATAGATATGACAGCAGCTGCTTTGGCAATTTTGTTCTTCATCCTGCTTGTCTTGCTTGCTGTCTCACATGTAACAGGTTCCAGAAGGCAAGCAGACATGGACTCTGAAGCATAATCAGATGGTCCAGACCGGTCTTAAGTTTTTCTTCCACTGATCCTGGCAGCTCCATCCATCTTCTTGCCATATCATTTATTTAGAACAGGTACCCTCTCTTCTCTAGGAATTGTATTTGCATCTAGTTTATTAGAATTGTGGCATTTCTGCTTCCAAAACTGGAGAAATAACACTTCTATGCTCTTTGGTACATTACTTGATATATCAGCAGTGTATGTAGGATGCAGTTTAATCCGCTCAGTCTCATTAA